ATAAAAAGTAAATATACAGCAATTAACTCTCTACATGTAGTTAGTATATTGTTTAAGATGGAATACACTAAAGATAGAATAGAYTATTATATTATTAATCCTACATTAGGCAATGTAGGTGACCCACAATGCACTTCGGTCTTGGAATGCACTATTCAGTATGCAGTATTCAGTATTCAAYCTTTTTTGAAATAGCTGTAACTCTTTGATAATTGTGTTACTTTCAAGGACTTTTAAGGAACATTTTTTTTTTAATTTGGTGGCCTGGGATGAAGTCCATGATTTCAAAAGAAAAAGTGACACTGGCAGTTTTACAGATTTTGTCGYAAGCATTGATGCATAAGTTACACTATAGAGAAATGTTGCGTGAAATTCTTTTGTTTTCTAATMTAATCAAAGCATCCCAGCGGACCTAACGCAAGCCAGAGTAGGTTCAAATGAAACAYGGTATGATTGCTTGACTAAAGAATAATGTTGAATGTTGAATTCACATTCCGTATAATAATCTTTGTTGTCATCTATTGTTTTAGCTTGCACGAACTTCAAAAATAAAAGTGTTAAAGAAAAAGGTCTAAGCAGAACGCGCGAGATAAAATGGTATCATTTCAGATAGACCATTTTTGAGTTCCAAAATACCGCTGCGTTACTTGTTTACAGACTTATTTACTCAGCCTTAGCCTTGAATCAGTGTCTAAATATTCACAAATAACAACGTAACGGGAAAGTAAAGAATGCACAACTTCAATAATACAAACTCTTTGAACCTCCACGAAGCTTCACTGGAACATATGAATATTCTGCACGAAACCGAGGATGATCCTGAGCAACAGAACTAGAAACTGGAGTATAGAGGTTTTGCGCCATCACGTGACGGCAGCCATGTTAGATGGCAGGAAAATACGATCGTCTTACATGAGAATGAATTCAAATCCCGAGAGCAAAGGAATTTTATTCTTCTGCCATCTAACCCCATGTAGCCCAAGCTGTATTATGAGCATGGGCACGTGATAATGCAAAACTTCTATTGTTTGAATCCGAGCACTTTACATCCATACCACGAGGTTTTCACATGATATTCGTTCTTTAGTAGCAGTGGGTTACCTGTGTTAACCTTGGAATTCTTCTGTAGCCCTAGTCTATGCTCCGATGAATTGTCAATTACAGCAACCTAAGAATTATAACGTTCATACAAACACAATCAACATAATCATGTAGACCTATAACTACATGACTACGAAATAATTTAAATCCTTAGTGCTCTTATTAGTGCTCTTGCGTACGTATTTCTATAGAGTGGTTTTCATTAACTCGTGAAACAAAAGTTACCTATTAGATGGTAATAGCCAAATTCAAACAATAGAAAACAAAGGAGTTAAAGCGTGATAGTAATAAATACGTTAAAATGTATTTCACATGTTTATGAAATCACTCTAATGGTGTGGGAATCAATGGTATGTAGACTGAAGGTCAATTTTTGGCAATATTGTAACAGACTGGTAGAAAGCATGAAATTTGACTCAGAGTTAACTTGTGCCCTGTAGACCATATTTAGAAGGGTTATCACAAAATCTGCTGTCAGGGAGAGGGGTATTTCCAGTTGTATTTCTGCATGATACTATTATAGTAAAAAAGAATGCTATGAAAGACAAATGCACACATGACCTACCCCTCCAAATCCTGACCAAATTAACCCCTCACCCTGATATGGAATTCCCCGGCTCCCCTTCTGAATTTGTTTCAAATGACATAAGAAAGCTCTGTCCCAATTTTGGTGCTTTCTTGCGGATTGTAACGATCTTTGCATATAGCAACCTCACTACTCTTGGGTCTTGGATTTGATATCTTAACTTCGCATTGACTTTGAGCATAGTTTATGATCCGATAACCTTTCTTCGAGTCATCCAGTTTTTGCGCCTCCGCAAATCCCGACACGCTCAATCTCAATTTTAAAGTATCAAAAATTTGACGTTTTGGCGGGAAAAGAAGTTAAGAAAATTTACAAAAATAAATCAAGCTTTTCGCAATAAGAAAAGGTAAAGGTTCAGACACGAGACCGTGTGTCCATCTGTGCGCGCGACGTCGGTGGGGACGTTGAAGAAGTAAAAACGAGTTCTACYTTTGYGACGTCGMTGGTGACAAATTTTATGTGATGYCGYAAGGAAATTTGCAAAGTGTGACATCACCCCTAAACCCGACARACCCAAATTAACGTCGCATCATGTGTCTCAGCATTAAGGAACTGATTTTTTTTTATTTACCGCAAGCTCTAAATTCATGTGAATAAAGGAAGAGTTAAGACTACGTAATACCTTTGTTCCATACAGCATCATTGGTGATTGGGTCTCTTCGTACGTCATCGTCTCAAGAGCTGCGCTGAAGGCACCCATCATGATTCCAAACGACACAAGACCAAACAACGTCCAGAACACCGTGAAGATGCGASCTGGRATACTCACCACGGTTTTATCACCATAGCTACAGACAGAAAAAGTGGAAAGTAAGTGAATAAGGGACTGTTCAATCGTTCTAAACTCGAATAAACGAGCTTTCTTAAATGGTTTCGTTGACTACAAACTACACTAAATATCTCAACAATATCATCGGTGTTATTGACAAGAATATTAATAAATAAACACCATTTATTCTAGATCTTGGAATGACCTATCTCCTATSGCTTATAACCTATCGCCGTTCGTCCCTTCAACCTTTTTTGAAGTAGCTGTATTCTATATTGTAGTGTCATGTCTTGTCGTTTGTTACTTGTATATATATTCCAAACTTATTATCTTACCCAACAGTAGTGTATGTAATAAAAGCAAACCAAAACCCACTCGCAACTCCTCGTATAAATGACCCATGGAAGTGATCTGGATTATCTTTGGAATCCTAGGAAAAGAAAAGAGCAATCGAACTTTTTGTTAGCGGAAGAACTTATCTGATATCCTGTCACCTTTGTTGTGGTGATCGCTGCATCAACTTAGAAGGTWGCTATGTTTCTTGAGCTATGGTTCTTACTTCATGCAGATGACACAGTCTACGTAATTCACAATTTTTGGAAGAAGCTACAAG